TCTCTCTGTCTCTCTCTGTCTGTCTGGCGAGCACACATGCCCTATAGCAAAAACCTCTCCAAAAAAAACCAAAACGTTGGGGCCAGCAGGTGACATGGTGATTAAGGGCACTGGACTCCCACATGGCCGACCATGGTTCAAGTCCTGGACCTGGCGGCTTGCTTACACTTTCCCTCTCTCTCTCTCTGGCCAAATTAAAATAAATGAACGAATAAATAAATTTTTTAAAAAAATTACACCTTGCTGAACTCCTGTGTAATTGACCACGGTTTGAGTCCTGGACCTGGTGGCTTAAACTCATGTCAGGCGCGTGTGCGTGCGTGCCCAAGATCTAAGAGGAGAATGGAGGAGAAGGGATTGCGGCGTGGCCATCCCCCCGGGGGATGATTTCTCACTTCCTGTCTCTCTGTCTCTCTCTGTCTTCCTGGTGAGCGCATGCATCTATAGCAAAAACCTCTCAAAAAAAAAAAATTACACCTAACCGTGAATTGCAGAAGGAACTGAGACAACAGTAACTAGAGGATTTTTTAAAAAGAATTATTTGTTTAATTTTATTTATTCATTCATTTACTTTTTAATTTGACTAGAAAGACACACACACACACACACACACACACATACACACACACAGAAAGCAAGACGCCAGGTCCAGGACTTGAACCGTTATCAACCATGTGGGAGTGTCCAGTGCCTGGTCCTGCAATGCCTAGTTCTTAAAAACAAAAACAAAAATAGCTAACTCACACACTGGTTGTAGATTGTCGGTGAGGAAAAGTATATAATTTACATAGAAGAGCTACTTTTTTTTGCATCTTTTATATCTTTTCAGTAACTTTTAGTTCTTGTTAGTATTTTGTCTTACAAACACTGATGTTCTCAGCTTTTTCCTTAAAAAGCTTGATTCCACCTGCCAGGCACTCAAGAACAAAACTGAGATCAGAGTAACTCCAAGTCTGGGGGAGGGTCTCTCCTTTGGTATTGCTCTTTTGTTCAACCTTTCTCTGAGAGAGAGAGATCTATATATATATATATATATATATCAATGTGCTATACAACATGTGTACTCACCAGGGAGAGAGAAATAGAGACAAAGAGAGGGAGAGAGACGGAGGGACGGAGGGGGAAACTGAGATGTGAGAAAGCACCTGAGGTGGGGGTGGCCACACCACAATCTCCTCTCAGGATTTTAGGTTCATGTGCACACATGCCTAGCACGTTTTTCAGGCCACTGGGTCCAGGACTTGAAACAGGCAGTCAGCCATGTGAAATCTATCTTAACCACCACATCACTGGTCCTCTGAGATATTTTTATACAATGAGTTGGCTACTAGATACTCTGCACCTGCTATCCTATCATTGTTCCACACTACCTACCCCAGCCTATTTCACCTGGCTCTTTCATGCTGAACTTTCTCAGGCTCCGTAACAAACCCCCTCCACTCTTCTAATAGTGGAAGAACACTGTAAGTGTAACTGATCCATCTTCCTTTCCTTACTGGTATGCACATTGCCTCATAAGGAAGACTCTCCACTTAGATACACGAATGAATTAGTTTATTGCTCAGATGAGCACTTAGAATTTTTTTTTTTACGTAGATTTTTGCTATAGTGTACATGCACTTGCCAGAAGAGACAGAAAGTGAGAAATCACTCCCCGGGGTTATGGCCACACCGCAATCCCTTCTCTTTCATTTTCCTATCGGGATTTCGAGCACGCATGCACACGCACTGGTGTGAGTATCAAGTAGCCAGCTCTGAGACTCAATCTGTAGTTGGCCATGTGGGAGTCTAGCACCTTAACCACTGTGCTATCTGCTAGCCCCCACTTAGAACATTTTAATAAGCCTGAAATGACTGTTTAGTAAGTAAAGGTCTTTCCCCCTCACCCCCATTGCCAGAGGGCACATCCACTCAACAGAGAGAGACAGAGTGAGAGGGGGAGATAGCATGGGGCATGGTCACACCACATTTCCATCTCGTTATCCATCCCGTGGGGATTTGGAGCATGCAAGCACATGAGTCCAATGTGCTTTTTTGAGCCTCTAGGGCCAGGATTTGAACTATGGTAGGCCACATGGCATCTGACTCCATTAACAAGGCTACAGGGCCAACCCAATAAGTAAAAATTCTTAACAGGGAAGTGGAAGGACATATTTAGGAAAACTAATTTCACACTATTCAGTACCTTTCTCTCTCTTTTTTTAAAAAAGAATTATTTATTTAATTTTATTTGTAATTATCATTATTATTTTGACCAGAAAGACAGAGAAGAGTGAGAAAGCAAGCTGCCAGGTATGGGACTTGAACAGTGGTCAGTCATGTGGGCGTCCAGTGCCCCAATCACCACACCACCTGCCAGCCCCCTTATTTAGTACCTTTCTATTGCCAGTAAGTATGAGGGTTCTTCAGAAAGTTTAGAGAATATGAATTATGGAAAAAATTTTAAATCTATGGATTCCAAAACTACAGATTTATAAATTTTTTTTGAAACAAAATAAACTTTTACTTTCATATTCTGAAGTTCCCTTGAATAAAGGAACCCCTTCGGGAGCTAACACAGCAAATGTACAGCCCAGGAGTCCTGGAACCGACCCCTAAAAGCATGTTGCAAGGCCATTTTTTGTTTATCACCTTTTAGAATGACCTCAAAGCATTTGTTCTGTTATATTTATCAATGCCTTAATGGTGCATTTCTTTTCTCAAATCAAACATATACGTCTAAAGACTAGCGTAGATGAAGGGAATGAAAACTAAAAGGAGATAAGTACTTTTTGGCAAAAAAAAAGTATAATTAATATCGTTTATACAAGTAATAAGTAGTCCTCTGTGAAAATTGTTAAAATTTCACTTACGACTCAAGTTCTAGTTGACCATTTTATTCCATCTCATATTATTTCCCTTCACTAGAATTAAGAACCTTTTTAACTTAATTTTTTTTTTTAAAAGATGTTTGCTGTAGGGTGCATAGCTCACCAGAGAGACAGAGAGAGTGAGAAACCACCTCCGAAGGGA